CCCAGTTATCCACAGGAATTCCCACTTATCCAAAGCCATTCCTGCCAGGAATTCCCAGTTATCCACAGCCATTCCTGCCAGGAATTCCCAGATATCCACAGCCATTCCTGCCAGGAATTCCTGGATATCCACAGCCATTCCTGCCAGGAATTCCCAGTTATCCACAACCATTCCCACTATAATATTATATATATTATTTATAACTCCAAAACATAAATATTATAGAATAATTCGATTATTTTATTAAATATTTTAAATACTAATATTATTAATTACAACTAATTATAAATATTAATATTAATAATATTTAAGATATAATATATTACTGTAGGTTATATATAATCATACAATATATTATTATATATAACAATTAATGATATTAAAACAATTATATATAATTAATAATTAATAAATATTTATTAATATAGCTATCAATATACTCAATTATTTATAATTAATTACATAAAAATTTAATATTTTATATTAATCATATAACAATTATTATACACAAAAATAGATTATATATAATAACATATAATTAATATATTAAATTAATTATATAATTATATGCTATAAGTTATAATATATTCGTTACAATTTAATTATATCTATAATGATAAATTATTCCAAATTTATTAAACTTAAATTATTTATTAATAGAAATACAATTAGTTCTATTAAGTATTTTTTAAAATGTTAACTAATTAAAAATGAAAATATAATTAGAATTAATTCTATATATTATATATTATATATAGAGATATCATTATAATTAATAATTATATTTTAATATATAATTATATTTTAATATATTAATATATAATTATTTAATATAATTTATTTTAATATATAATTTTAATTAATATATCATTATATATGATATGAATTCTATTTCATAATTTAGTTTTAATTACTGATAATGAATTATTATTATAATTAATTACAACTACAATTAATTATAATTAACTAACAAATGACTCCAGACTTCTATCCCACAATTATCCGGGAATTTTCCCTCATTCCCAATCTCATCTCACCCTTTTGGGTCCCTCCCAGCAGGGTTTTCCCGCGGATCCCTTTGCACAAATCCAGGATCGTGGATCCCACGTAGGCGATTTCGGGCCCAAAGCGGAAACTCTGCACGGAAAAATCCCGGGATCAGCACCAAAACAAGAGGGAATTGTTGGAATCCATCCAAAGATGGCTCCACATGGAATTATTGCATTCCCAGCAATCTTCTGGAGAATTTTTCCATAAAAAAACACTAAATCCATCCAAAATATTCCTAGAAATCCCAATAATTCTTAAATCCAAATGATGTGATTCCCACCAAGCTCCTGGACTGCTTCTCCTGGAAAAGGCACCAAAATTCCCAAAATAATCCTGAAAATCCTGAATGGGCAGGGACACCTCCCACCATCCCAGGCCTTGGACATTCCCGGGATTTGGGGCAGCCACAGCTGCTCTGGGAATTCCCAAATCCCACCCCAATCTCCCCTTTTCCAATCTGGAGCCATTCCCTGTGTCGTGCCCCTCCAGGCCTTCCCCAAATTCCAGCTCTCCCAGAGCCCCTCCAGGCCCTGGAATGTGCTGGAAGCTCTCCCTGGAGCCTTCCCTTCTCCAGGAGAACATTCCCAGCTCTCCCATCATCTCCATCCCATCACATCCCACAGCCACCTCCAACATCCCAGATATTCCCCTCAAAAAAAACCCAACCAAACCAAAAACCCAGGGAATCTCCCCACAACGCCACCTCTATCCCAGATCCCAAATTTTCCACAGATTTGGGATTTTTCCATGGGAATTGTGCCCTTGCCTGGGTCAGGTAGAACACGTGGCTGTGGGGCAGCAAGTAGAGGGTGTTGACGGCCCCTCGGAATGTGTAGATCTGTTGGTGAGGGTCTCCCACCAGGATTTTCCCACATTTTTGGGATTGTACGATATCCACGATGGCTGTGGGAATTAAAAAATTAAAAATCTGGATGGTGAACCCGCTCCAAATCCAAGGGAAAACTTTGGATATTGAGGGAAGAACCCGCTCCGAACGCAAATCGGTTCACAAGTTAAACCCGAGGGGAAAATCGGGTTGAAATTCCAAATATTTGGGTTAAGATATTCCCAAAGCGTTCCCATGAATGTGGAAATTCCTTCTGGAAGTGGGATTGGAGCTGGAATTCTTGGAATAATTCACCTGGTGTGCAATCCTGAGCTTCATCCACAAAAATGGCGTCGTATCCTGAGAGCTGGGGTTTGCTGAGCTGCCAGAGTTTCAAATATCCTGAGGGGAAAAAAATCGGGAATTTCACGGAGAGGGGAATTCTCTCAGCATAGATCACTTTAAAATAAATCTTAAAAATAAATCTTTAAAATAAATCCCTTTTTTCCCTTTTTTTTTTTGGGGGGTTGTTTGCTAAGATTTCACTTGGAATTTCCAGGATGTTTGGAAGAGTTTCCGTTCCCCAGCTGGAATTTGGTGATTCCCAATTTTTTATTGCCCGGTAAAAATTCCAAGGAAAAGTTTTCTCCGGCACAATCCAGAGGAAAGGACGTGCAGGGAGAAACTTGTAATATTTTTTGGATTTTTTTAGATGTTTAAAATAAAAAAAAAAAGGGAATATCCTTCAAATCCACACGTTTTTATCCCAGTGGGAGCACAAATAAATTTTATGGATTTTATAGGTGAAAAAATTGAGCCAGAGGGACATTCCCTGCTGAGCCAGCAGCAGGAAAAATGGGATTTTCCCTTTTTTAAGCAGGAATAAGAAATCCATTGATTTTTCCAGCACCAAATCCATTTTTCCTGAGGGATTTTCCATCTCTTTTACCATCACAAGTCATCTTGTATTTCTTTTCCACATCTCCATCCAGGTCCTTCATGTTGTGCCAAATCTCCCTGGCCTCCTCCAAGTTGATCTGAAATGGGGAATAAAATAAAATAAAATACAATAAAATACAATAAAATACAATACAATACAATACAATACAATAAAATAAAATAAAATAAAATAAAATAAAATAAAATAAAATAAAATAAAATAAAATAAAATAAAATAAAATAAAGAAATGAGATGAAATGAAATGTAACAGTGGAATAAAATAAAATAAAATAAAAATAATGAAATGAAAACAAATAGTGGAATAAGATAAAATAAAATAAAATAAAATAGTGGAATAAGATAAAATAAAGTAAAATAAAATAAATAAAAATAAAATAAAATAATGGAATGAAATGGAATTAAATGAAATTAAATGAAATAAAATAAAATAACGGAATAAAATGTAATTAAATGAAATCAAATCAAATTATGGAATAAAATGAAATAAAATGAAATGAAATGAAATAGTGGAATAAAATAAAATAGAATAAAATAAAATAGTGAAATAAAATAAAGTGAAATAAAATAAATTAAAATAAAATCATGAAATGAAATGAAATAAAATAAAATAAAGGAATGAAATTAAATGAGATGAAATGAAATAAAGTCAAATAGTGGAATGAAATGAAATAAAATAAATTAAAATAAAATAGAATAAAATAAAATAAAGGAATAAAATCAAATGAAATAAAATAAATTAAAATAAAATAGAATAAAATAAAATAAAGGAATAAAATCAAATGAAATGGTGGAATAAAATAAAATAACTTAAAATAAAATTACCATTTGATATTGTATTATATTACATTACATTATACTACATGATATTATATTATATTATATTATATTATATTATATTATATTATATTATATTATATTATATTATATTATATTATATTATATTACATTATATTATATTACATTATATTATATTATATTATATCCAATTATGGAATAGAATGAAATAAAATAAAATAATAAAATAAAATAAAAAAAAAATACTAAGTATATTAATATATCTTAAACTATGTATAATATAATAAATGTAATAAAATAAAATTAAATATAATAAAATAAAATTACATATAATTTAATGACATATAATGACATATAATGACATATAATGACATAATATAATATAATATAATATAATATAATATAATATAATATAATATAATATAATATAATATAATATATAATATAATATAATATCACACGGTATCACATGGTATTACATGATATTGTATTATATTGTATTACATTACATTATATTATATTGTATTACATTACATTATATTATATTACATTATATTACATTATATTATAATATAATTATAATATAATTATTATAATTATATTATCACCCTCTTTTCCTGTGGGCTCACGCGCTCCATGTTCCCGTGGGTGTTCCTGAACCAGAGCGGAACGTGCTCCTCGCTGATCTCCTCATCCCTGGAGGAAAAGAAATTCTCCAAGGTCTGCGACACCGTTTTCCCTCTCACAAACAGGGACTGGCCTTTGCAATTCCGAAGGAGGGAGCTGATGGAAAACACGGACATCTTGGAAAAGTTCAGCTTGCCTTTGTCTTTGTAGCTGGGGCAGAGGGGAGAAAAAGCCAAAAAAAATTATGTTAAAACGTACAAAAATCCTGGTTTTTTGTAAATTATCCATGGAAAAATTTGGATTTCCATCCCAGATCATCCTAACAACGGAATCTCTTTAAATCTGCATGGATTCATCCTGGTGGAAGGAGAAATTTGTTGGTTTTATACGTTCTAGAGATGGAAAATTGAGCTCATCCCTGGAATTCC